GTGTGTGTGTGTGTACGAATCTCTACGGATCTCAATGTAGGCCCTTAATACTTAGTATGAACCACTGAATTTGAAGCTGACCTTCATCTTTTACTTCTTGAAATCCTTGGCTCATAGCTTTTTGAATGGTTGGTTTCAGTTGGAAAATACACTGAACAATACATCTGGAAATATTCTGTCATGTTCTGATCTGAGAGCTTTCAGAGAACCAGCTGCTGATTTGAAAGACTTCTGTTGTGGTACAGACGGTCTATTGTCTACTAACGCACTGGCTATTACACAGTGGTATATGTGTGTTGCTTTTCTTGAGCTTTTAGCTTGAGAGGAAAACTTGTATTCATTAAGTTATGCATGACATGTATTCCTGAGAATAGTTTATTGTGATGTTCTCTTTAACTGATTCATTGTACATTTAGGGATTTTCTTTTTCAAAAACTATATAAAATATTAGGTAATTAAGTAACAGATTTGAGATATTTTCCATTTTGAGTTTTTAAAAGTTGATAGATTTCTACATTAAAATTTTGGTGTATTTATGATTTAATACGTCTCGGTAGCTTCATATTGACGAAATGGGTGGATTTCACCATTCACTATATTACTGTTTACCTCTTGTATGCATACTACTTGATACAGGGAAGGGAAAATTGACATCCAAACCCTACATAGGACTAATTTTGAAGAAAGTGACAGAAAATACATAGAAAATAATTGCACCTAAGTAATAATTGCACCTAGAGTCAAAGCTTCCCTGGATGGCATATGTGATTAAGGGCTTGCAACTTCCCTAAAGGCTGGATGGAGCCTTGAACCCACTCAGAAGCACCTCAAAAGACAGCTCTGGCCCTCTGCTTCCAATAGGAAACCCAGAAAACCCTATAGAACAGTTCTATTCTGCACACATGGGATCACCATGGGTAAGAATGATCCAATGACGGTTAACAACAACAACCTAGTAACATTTTAGTTGTTTTAAATTATAAAACTTATATATTTACATTTCAGAAAATTAAATAGGAAATGCATACACATTCACACAAAACCTTCCAAACATTAAGATGGCCACGGGTAACATTAACATTTATTTTCCGTGGCTTTGCCTTATACATATGGGTCTTTTGTTTTGTTGTAATTAGTGTTGTATTTTTTAGTTCCTACTTTTAAAATTAAATATAATGGGCATTTTCTCATAGGGCTGAGTCCTTGGTTGCTCTATAATTAGGGAAATACTATGTAGTTTTAATTTGAAAATATTTTGATAGCTAGTTGCATATTTTCATAAGTTTAAGTTCTAGTTTCAAAATCATAATTACTTCAAATATTTTTCCAGCCTAGTAACACCTGTCTTTTTCTATGTGGACAATTTAGCTGATCTGATTTGACATAAAGAGACCCTGGTGGTGCAGTGGTTGTGCTTAGACCCGTTTTTGCTCTATGGAGAAAAGACCTGGCGATCTCCTGCCACAGAGATTTACATCGACAGCCTGGGAAAACCTCACAGACTCGCTTTGTCCTGGAGAGTTGCTGTACGTGGGAATTGCTGGATGGCCCCAAACAGCCACCACCACTTGGTTCAAGTGATTCAATACTCTTTCAAGGAGACAGCAGCATTTCTCTTAACGTGTCTATATATGTATGCTAAGTGATAAATTTCTCTCTCTTTTTCCACTGTACTCAAGATGTCTTCAAATTAATTTCTCTGGAAAAGGTGTCCTATATCATTATGTTTGTACTCCATATTATTATACACATTTATTATGAAAGCATATAGGTGCAATCTTAATAATTTTTTTTAATTCAGGAAATTCCAGCTGAAAATAATATGTAAAGTATGCTTCAAATATGTTTAATAGTTCTTCAACCAGAGAATTTAGATTTGAATTGTGAATCTTTCCCCCAGGTTGGAAAAGAGACTGTCCAAACTACCGAGGACCAGATTTTGAAGAGAGACATGCCACCAGCATTTATTAAGTGAGTAAAGAAAAACCTTTAGGCTGGCTACACTTGGTTTTTAGTTATGGGAATTAGGCATTTTTGACATAATAATTTAACAAAACCATGACTTGTGAGTTTTGTTTTCTAGACTGTGTAGGATTCAGAAACATCATTTGTTGATTGCATAAACCTGAGGTTTATAGAAACACTTTTGCTTGAAGAGGAAAGAATAATAGTAGAGATAAATTTTAAAATAAAGCTACTCAGTGCAAGAACACTTTGTTCTATTAAAATGACGTTCCATATGCTCACCTTCCCGACACTGAAGACAAAATGGGTGCATAAGCAAATGTGGCGAAGAAAGCTGATGGTGCCCAGCTATCAAAAGATATAGCATCTGGGGTCTTAAAGGCGGCCATGTGGCTCAGAAGCAACAAAGCCCACATGGAAGAAGCACACCAGCCTGTGTGATCATGAGGTGTCAATGGGATCAGGTATCAGACATCAAAGAACAAAAAAATCATATCATTGTGAATGAGAAGGAGTGCAGAGTGGGGACCCAAAGGCCATCTGTAGGCAACTGGACCCCTCTTACTGAAGGGTCACGGGGAGAAGACTAGTCAATCAGGGTACAGTGTAGCAACGATGAAACATACAACTTTCCTCTAGTTCTTAAATGCTTCCTACCCCCTCACTATCATGATCCCAATTCTACTTTACAAATCTGGCTAGACCAGAGGATGTACACTGGTACAGATAAGAATTGGAAAGTATAGATGGGAACTGGAAACACAGGGACTCTAGGACAGATGAACCCCTCAGGACCAGTAGTAAGAGTGGTGATACTAGGAGGGTGGCGGGAAGGTGAGGTAGAAAGGGGAAACTGATTACAAAGATCTCTATATGACCCCCTTCCTTGGGGATGGACAACAGAAAAGTGGTTGAAGGGAGATGTTGGACAGTGTAAGATATGACAAAATAATAATTTATAAATTATCAAGGGCTTATGAGGGAGGGAGCACGGTGAGGAAGGGGAAAATAAGAGGAGCTGATTCCAAGAGCTCAAGTAGAAAGCAAATGTTTTGAGAGTGATGATGGCAACAAATGTACATATGTGCTTGACACAATGGATGTATGTATGGATTGTGATAAGAGTTCTACGAGCCCCCAATAAAATGATTTTTAAAACAAATAAAAGAAAAAAGTAAAATACAGCTACTGTAACATTTTGAAGTATTTAAAATGGAAGCTATAATTACATATTGCCTGATACCCTACAGATAATTTTTAGACATTTTGCACATCCTATGGGAAAGGAGAGAGACTTAAGTTTTGATCAGATAGAGCTTCTCCGGTTCCTGATGGTGTCACCATGTATTGACAGCCTTGTCCCATATAGCAGTCAAGTCCTAAGTAAAGATAATTCCTAGAAGTCAATTAGAATAAGGCAAATTTTTTTTAAGCCAAAAGATTTGAATAAAGAAGAAATTCTTTTTAAAAGTTGTAGCTCTTTTGAAATCAGGGAAGTATAAATTGTATTACAAAACTACTCAATTAAAAAGTTTGTTAGAAAAAGTTTGTTAATAGCAATTTTTGTTAAGGGTTTGGAGGAACGGTAACTCTTGTACACTGCTGTTGGGAATGTAAACTGATGTTGCCACCTGGACAGGAAGATTGACAGTAATAAAGTTACAGGTAGGTCATGTGGCTTCCAGGTTATGTTCTCAGGAGAAACTTGTGCGCACTCATAACCAGATCTAC